TGGGCTGGCAGCGCGGCGGGCAACGCCGGCGGGCAGCGGGCAGGGCGGGATTTGAAATTTTTTGAATTAAACGGGTTCGTGGTTTGACCCGACAACCCGTTGGGTCAACCCGAACCCGACCCGTTTTTTAAACGGGTCGATTTCTGGAACCCGAACCCGACCCGTTTTGAAATCGGGTCGGGTTCAACCCGGATTTTCCGGGTCGGATTTTCGTGTCGTATCAAATATTGACACCCCTACTTGACAATAACGAGAAATACTGCTCTGTAAAGACCAATACCGAGCAATACCTAGTAATACCGAGCAATGCCTAGCAAAATCGAGGTATTGCTCGGTATTGGTCTTCACAAACCAGCCAATACATAGCAATCCCGGGTCCAATCTGGGTCGGGTCGTCGGGCCGCGCGGTAAAGAGTAAGAGCACGTGTCACCATTTTACTGGTGTCCGAACGTAGAGCTAAAAATTCCACCACTACGCAGTTCCACCCCTTATGAACATTTTGACTTCATAAAAAAAAAGAGCGAAATGGGCAAAAAATGATTAATTAAAAACAAAAAAAAATCCCGATGTTAAGATTCGATAACGATTTGGATTATGAAAACAGTTAAGCATTAATTGCCGTATTATTAAATTAGGATAGGAATGGCATTATCTTGCTTTAATTTGTTTAATAAAAGAATTTAAAGTATTTGCCAAATGCACTCTATAATTAAAGGGCGACTATTCATTTGATTACCACGTAAGTCTTTTATGTGATCTCTTCAATATTTATTATTATTAAAATATATACTGACTTGATTGATTTTATTTAATTGAATTTCTTATTATGTGAGATTTTTTATATTTCTTAAATATTTGATATTTCGAGATGGATTAAAATAATTTATGAATTCATAATTATTATTACGCAAAAAGAATTTTTATTTGAATATTTTTATCATTTAGTGAGGTTGAACTATTTAAAGTGGCAAGTTTTTTTTTATCTTTTTTACCTTTTTTTTGCATGGAGTGTTAGGTCCATTGAGGCAGACTCACACACCAATTACATACACAAAGCTTGAACCCAAGACTTCTTAGTTAATAGCCTGAGCTCCCAACCAACAGATCAAGGTGAGCTGTATTAAAGTCAGTCAATTGACTCGTGAATATCGATCATGATATTCACAAGTAAATTGAATGACTATGTTGAATATGCAAAAATCAATATAATATTCTATAGTTTTAGAGAATCATAATTTCTATTTTAATCAGTGAAATTCAATAATATTACGATCAAAATTTTCACACTATTCATATCAATCATATAAAAAGTTATATGATAAAGTGCGATAAATCAAGAGAAAATACAATTTTATCCATTTAAGAGAAAATAAATGTGATGGACTGATGGTCCAGAATTTAATTTAAAAGAATTATTCTTTTATCTTTTAATAAACAACTACCAAAGTAACATACTTTCTTTTATCAATATCAATAGTAGCAGAATTAAAACAATCGATTAAAATATCAATATATACATATGTTTTCAATTACTAAAAATCATATACACTACTCAGGATCTATACAATCAAGTTATTACTACTCTGCCCTGAAAGAATAAAAAAGTAATAAAATCTGCAAAATCCTAATCAGCCTCACACTCCTAATCAGCCTCACACTCCTAATCATCTGTCATAACCTGAAAATATTTAATCACATATAATGAGCTAACAAGCCCACCAAGTCACTAAAACTTACAACTAAATTCAAAGCATGATAATGAAGCAATATGAATGTCGAGAATAAAATCATAACAGTAGCATTCATATGACTCTAATTACTCATATTAAGATTTTTTTAATAAATTTAATGGTTTAAGGAATTTATGTAATAATAATAGAAGATGTAATTAATCAAGCAAAATTCAATTCCTATGGAGATCGATGGATGGTTATGAATTTATGATGGAAGCATACATTTTGAATATAAGATGGGCCTCCATAGCTTATTGGGCCTAATTGGATTGTAATGAAAGCTTTACGTAGATTTCTTGAAAAATTTTCCCCCTTTTTTAGAACAACGGAATCTCTAAGTGAATAAATAGATTGATGGTTTTTGAAACTTAAATGGAATTAAATAAAGAGCTGTTGTTGGGGAAAAAAATTAAATAAAAATTTCTCTTCAATTTATTTTGTGATTTGTTGGGGTGATTATACTAATTAATTATCATTAACAATATAGGTATGTCATTATTAAAATTTTAAGCAACCCACAAAGTTTTTAAAAGAAATATTATACTTTATTTATAGTCATTTTTTTAGTCATTATTATTAAAAAAACACCAATAATCGTATTATTACATTAGAGTTGATATTTTCTCAAAAAATTATCTTGATCGGGCACGAATCTCGATGCAAAACTCAATCCGAAAACTTCAAAAATTAAATCTGGGTACACCCGAACTCCGATTTCAGCAAGCTTACAGTCAAACTGAGCGTCTCGGAAATACGAACCCAAAGACACCAAATTCAACTCGATCCGAGCCCAAATGAGTCTAAATCGAAGACTCAAAGTGTTGTTGGAAGGTTCAAATCACAATTTGAGTTACAAAAAAATCTTCGATTTTAACGAGCTTATACTCGAATCGAAGTGCTCGACGAGACGAATCCAGCGAGCCTAAGATCATGAATTCCGACATCACTAAGGCCTCAAATGTCTGACGAACGGTGCACAATCGTAGGAATCAATATCGGCCGTCCATTCGACCACTCCCTATTCGTCCCTGATCTCAGGCCTATTTACGAGCTATGTCACTCCAGAAAAACTATAAATAGAGCCCTCATTCTTCACAAAGGGGGGCCGAAGCAAGAAGAGAAGAGGAGAAGAGTAGGAAGAAGCTCCTCCTCGACCATTGCCGGAACCTCGCCAGAGCCTCGCCGGACCACCGCCAAAGCTTCGCCGCACCACCACCTGAGGCCCTCACCTTCACCTGAGGCCCTCACCTTCGTTAGAAGCACTGGCCTTGCCTTCACTAGATCATCATCAAAGGCCCAAAGTTCTGTCAGACCATCACCTGACACCCAGATTTCTATTGAACAGTTATTATTTGTAATCTGATTGCCCTTGGAGGCGAGTTAGCCCTTTGTAACCGACTCAAATTCTAGTGGAATCATTTTCAACTGGGCTAGGCCTCGTGGTTTTTCCCCTTTTAAGAATTTTCCATGTAAAAAATCTTGTGTTCTCTGTGTGTGTGCTGGATATCCGTGCAAAGCTAAGACGTACGTATAGTTAAAACTCTATCGCCGCGCATATTCAAGCCCGCAATAAGAGTGATACATTTTGAACAAAAATCATCAATTTTTCAATCATGATTTTTTTTAAATGACTATATATTCAATCATAAAGTTTTTTAGCAACAAATAATGCTCATAATCTTAGTACATCAATATGCTACTTAAACTATCACTAATTTAAAATAATATGAGAAATAATTAATCTTTTGGTCATACTCCATAAAAAAAAGTATTACTAAATTATTGCTCCTTCTATGAAAATACGACTTAAATCATTTGATGGGATCATCCTGCGCCCCCTTAGAATCTATCAAAAAGAGAAACACCTAACAAGTCCAGCGAGAACATTGAAATTATGTTTTAAAAATTAATAATTATTACATCTTTTATTTGGATGTAGATATAAGAAATTATTAATTTTAAACTTTATAAAGATTTTTAAATATCACAAATATGATTTTAGTTTTCTCACTAGACAGATAAAATCATTAGTACCTTTTAAAAATGTTTTATTACTTAAGTAAACATATGAACTCTTAAAAGAAATCTAATAAGCTAAAGAAGCAACTTCTGGGTTCCAAAAAAAAAAATCAAAAGAGGTTATCTCATAGTTTTTTTTTTTTAAGAAAATGAACGGTCTCTAACACCTTCTTATCAAAAATATATCCTTCATATTGATAAAATTGTCTATCATGATTATATCTTGTTATGAAAAAGTGCTTCGATATGATCCATGGATAAGGAATTAAGGGAAATACTTGGCATTTTATTATTGTTATCAATGGAGTATAGGATTCTATTCCATATTTTTTAACCATCGACAAAGGTAGCCTCACCATCAATTAAAAAAAAGTGAGTAATTTGGAGCAATAATTTATGATTAATGTTTCCATGTTAAAGAAGCAAAGAGAAAGATAGGAGAGGCCTATCTCTGCCTCTTGTATTTAATCATGATATAAAGCAAAATCAAGTGATTTATCCTTCTAATATTTGGGATTGACAAACCACTACCCCTAAATGGAGAGGAAGGGGTAGAAGCAAATAGCCTTCTCTTTTTCTTTCTTTATTTTTTTTTCCTTAAATCAAATAATAACAAAATGATGAGTGCATCCTCTTAACCCCTATCTAAAAGAAGAGATAATGGAGAGAAAATTATTGCCACTTTATATTGTGAGTTAGCACATATATATCTGATTTTCTTAATCTAGCACTGTTAAGGATCATCACAAGATGGTCATTGCTCATTTCGTTCATCACTTGAAATCATACTGAAGCTTCAATTCTAGCTATAAAATTCTTTATAAGAGCTATGTTGGCTTCATATACATTAATATTAAATAAGTCGAATTACACATTGCATAGCTCTTTGGTCAATAACATTAAGCATCATACTGTAGATTGTTTACATCTTGAAGATGCGCAATCATTTCATGGAGGTGAGTCAATCATTCATTTATGCTTTTCTCTGTTATGCTCATGCTATCATATGTCTGATATTAGTTTAGAATCTTTTTAGTCATTGATATTGTTAGCCAAGCAAGCAAATTGTCGCATTTGAAAATGTGTGACAAATTAAAGATAAAAATATGACTATAACTTGAAATTTTAATTGAGCTTTCACATTACATAAATATCTAACTTTCAAATCAAAGAAACTTAGAGATCAAAATAGCTAAACACTATATATAAAGCAAAATATCGATCACATAAGAAGCACATTATTTTGCCAAAATAGCAATCTCAACATAAGATTACATTAAAGCAACATAACCATTTGCATATATAACTTATTCCATTAGAACATTACTATGTATATATGAGTCTTTCTCCTCCTTATTTCTTCAATATATCACCCAACCATGCATTAGATCCTGCAAAATTAACAAACAAATTAAATACAAATATTGCAATCAAAAGCATACAAGTTATGTTAATAAATAATTAATTAAAATTTTAATTAAAGTTTTATTGGCTTATGTTTTTTTTTTTTTTTGCTAGTTAGGAATTATTAAAATTAATTAGATATAGATTAAGAAAGCTATATAGCATTAGCATAAATAATTATTTATTAATTAACGACTAGGATGTCAAATTATGTTAACTATAATTAATTAGGGTTTAAGTACTGTTTATAGAGATGATGAATGATGAGACTTTGATTGTTTAAATAGTATTTGATCTGCCTAAGTAGCGAATTAATAGTGAATTAATAATTAAGGCGTTGACTTGACTCAATTATAGCTTAAATGCTTATTAATTAGTACCTATTTTGAATAATTAAGATTTAATTTACTTAATTGGAACATAACCTATTTAGACATGTTTTGTTCTTTATCTCTTTCTTATAGCTCTCTAATTCTTAATTTATTGTCCTATTAATCTTTTTTTTTTTTTTTTCATGATGAACTTCAAATTTTTAGTCATGAAGAGAAACAAATTGATTCATTGAGCCAACAACAACAAAAACAAGCTCTTTTAATGGACAAATTACTTTGTGCGCATCCCAACTAGGCAACTACTCCAATCAAAATTAATCACGCCGCCTATACACAGGATCAGTATTATACACACCCGGCGTAAATATTGTACACAAGCGGTGTGTATAAGCAACGTGGCATGTTTTGATTGGAGTCCGGACGCACTGTCTGGACTCCGCACAGAATAATTTCTCCTTCTAATAACTTCCACCAAAAAATCTAAATTTTAGAGAGAGAGAGAGAGAGAGGAATTGTGGATGCAATGCATATTCATGAGATAAATTACTTGTCATAAGAGACCCATATCCTGCCAGCCTTAAGCTGGGAAATACGCTGAAAGGCATCACGAGAGAGGTTTATATCGCCATTGCAAAATGGTGGAGGGCAGTAATCCACAATCTTTACAGTCACTTCTGCACCAGTGCATGGATTTGGAAACTCATTCGTGGATCCTAAGCAACGCACTCTGTAATAACTTCCACACGCACCTCTGTTGTTCCAGAACTTGCTGCTCGCTCCTGCTATCAAAACCCCATCGTTTTGATAGCCGTTACACGCAGAAGCTATTGACAATTAATGTAAAAAAATTATGTGAGAATAGTTAATAAAAGATAATTTATAATATTTTTTATTTTATTATTAAGATATGTGGCAGTTAATCAAATCATTCTTCTTTTCCTTTCATGAGGAGGTCAGATATAAATTTTCTTATTCTTATAAAAGAATGAGAAAATATATATCTTGCAATGGCAAAATCAAGAATTTTTTAATTAGGAAAACAAATTAATTAACTTCATTAATCAAGATGCTTAGTAATACTTACGTGTATATGGAGGATTATAAAATGTTGCAGGGCCTGTATCTGCGGAAGCTTTAATGGCAAAAATGGCGAGGAGAAGAGAAAATAAGAACTTATGATGACTCATTGTTGGAAGAAGAAGAAGAAGAAGAAGGCTTTGTTTATTTGCTATTGCATGTGTTCTAAAGAGGGGTGGAGAAGGTTAGTATTTATAGCTGAGGATCTCATATATGAGGTTTTAGCTTTCATTAGAAGATTAATTAAGAACAAGGAATCCAAGGCATGTTATCCAAGTCTTCCGAAGACTTGGAAGTCTTAAAGTTATGCTCTTAAGAAATTTCTTCAGCTAGACTTTGCTCGTCATTAACGTTAAAGAATCTTTACAGGAAGGAGTTTGTACAATCACTGTATTGTTTTCGTGTTACTTCAGACTTTTACTATTAAATAATACGAATAGGTTGAGAACAGTGCAAAACTGGATTAACTTTACCTTTATAGTAACCATTACTAGACAAAGCTAAGGAAGAAGATAATGGAACAGCCGCTTATAAGGTAATTTAATTGTCACTAGTCAATGTCATTGTTCTTGTAAAGGAGAATGGGACAAATCACCGACGACGTGATTATTTAGTGCTGGATATTATTATGTGCGGATTCTGGATAGCATTCGGATTCAAATCATAGGCGGCCATGTTGCTTGTACATAGCTTATGTACAAATTATACACAGTATATATACAGGCTGATGTGGCTGCATGCTTGTGATTGGAGTCCGGATGAAAGCTACTAGGGTTGTCAAAATTGAGTTTTGGGTTGGGTTCGAGTCAAATCCAGAACTAACCCGGGTTCAAACGGGTTGACCTGAACCCGACCCGATTTTACAAACAAGTCAAAATAAGAACCCTGACCCGACCCGTCGGGTTACCATATTGACCCAACCCGTAACAGTTTTGTAAACTCGAGACGCCTTAGCGCTAGCAGTGGAAATGGCCGGCTTGGTCTGGTGCCTAGCGATCGACGCCGCCTAGCGGGTTCGACGATACTCTCGGCCCTAGAATCAGCACAACACATCGGTGGACGAGACAACAGGTTGATGAATGCACGCGACTCGACACTCGACAGCGTGAATGGGCCGCAGTGAGTCGGCAACGACAACACCGGCAATAATGGGCAAACAGCAGGCCGCTCTCGTTCTCGGATGGATGTGACACGAGTAGATGAACGTGACGGTGGGAAGTGTGGATGCGACCGCAAGGAGTGCGATCAGTGTGGACGGGCAGACGTGGTCTCGTGTTAACCCAGGTTGAGTTCTGGTTGCCATGTCAACTCTAACCATACCAGTTTTTTCAAACTGGTTGAATCCGGGAATCTGACCTATTTGTGAAATGGGTTGACCCTAACTCAAAATTTTTTTGTCATGTTTGAGTCGGGTTTTAGGGTCATGTCAAATATTGACACTCCTAAAAGCTACATTCGGGCTCTGCACATAATAATCTCTCCTTAATTGGGCTAGATATGGCCTTTTAAGAAGGTTGACATGAACCGAATAATGTGGATCCTTGAAATTGAGGGTTGTGCCACATGTAATGTTTCTAGATAATGACCATAAAGATATGCATTTGATACATTGAATTGAAGATGAGATGGGAATGAGTTAATGCCACCAATAGAAAGATCAAAATAGTTGATATTTTGGCCATTGGAAGTGGTGTGAATCTAGAGTGGTATTTATGTATTCACCACCCCATTAATATAATATTTTAATTTGGGTGTTAAACTAGCATTCCATCATATAATCAAATTGACGTACAGAATTGAAGGGAGGTTTCTAGTTTAAATTTGAGAGGATACACCCAGCAAAAATGAGAATAATCATTAATGAACAACAAATAATATTGATAATTATTTATAGAAGTAATTTTGAAAGGACCTCATACAATAGAATGTATGATTTCAAGAGGTTGAGAATTGTTTGAAATAGATGATAAAAATAGTAGTTTATGAGATTTCACTAAGTGATTGGATGTTATGTGTACTTATTGTTATATATGTCATTATTGTATTAGCTAGTATAAAAAGCGTCGAGTGATGAGGATCTCCAAGATGATGATGTAAGAGATTTGGAATGGGTTTCATGGATAGCAATGCAAGTGTAGTAGGATGTTCTTGAGTTGAGTATGTTATGTCATGGATCATTCAAGAGTATATGGTTGGTCTAGAAATTCTAATAATTATCATCAAAGGATGCATAACAAGAATTATCATAGGTGAGACATTGAATGGAGAGTAGATTATAAGAGAGCATCGGAGCATGGAGAAGTTGAGAAAGAAAAAGATTAATTACAAGTTAAAATGGGAAGAATGCCTTAACCAATGGTAGATATTGGAAGAGAGGTGCCTTTGTCAAGCATCCTCAGTTGGTAACCATGCTATTGTTTGGGATGGTGAAGTTGGGTTTGTACTACAGGAAAAACAGTGAAAACCGACGGTTTTTTCCGGCGGTTAGTGCAAAATTACCGGCGGTGTTTTACATTACCGGCGGTCTAACGGCGGTTTAGTAACCGCCGGTAAAAACGGCGTAGGAAACCAATTCCGACGGCTTTTTACCGGCGGTTTATTTTGCGGCGGTTTTCCGGCGGCACCTACCGCCGGTGACCACCGGAATTTCAACCGTCGGTCTTTCGGCGGTTCGGCCGCCGGTAATGTAACTGCCGGAAAACCGCCGGTCAGAGTACCGGCGGTGTTCCGGCGGTTAAACCTGGCGTCGTCTGGTTCATTAGACCGCCGGACGGCGCCTCTAAACCGCCGGTTCAAACCGCCGGTATAGGCCATTTTTCCTGTAGTGTTGATCAATAGTGAGATACAGAGTTTTGCCAGAATCAATGTATCAATCAGATTGACTGGTAGTTTTTTGGTGAACAGAGCTTGAGCATTAGGAGGGTTGTTGCTATAGTTAAGATCCTTGTGATGCTAGCATTTAATGTAGGAATGCCCTAGTTACCACATATTTAATAAATGACTAATGGATAAGAAGATTTGCCACGACGAGATGCTGAAGATTGAGATCGATCGAATTAAGAGTGGTGATAGTTTTGACTTGTGTCTGGAAGAAGGATGAAAGGAACATCCTTGACCATGACCACAAACACCATACATAGCACATGGTAAGCCAATAATTGCCTTGTTTTAGCATATTTTAGTTAGATTCTCTCTTGTTGAATTATTTTTATGATAGCTAACACTACAGGAAAATCACCTATTTCTGGCTGCCTTTTCCGGCGGTTTTGTAGTTTTCCGGTGGTTAAATTACTGCCGGTAAAAACAGCGTAGAAAAATGAATTCTGGGGGTTTTTTCCGGCGGCTTACCGACAGTCTTAATAATTAAAAATAAAAATAACTAACTAATTAATTTTAAGATGAAAATTAAGTTAATTGTTATATTAACTTTTAATAATTTTTTTGTTAAATCTTTTAAATGATTAAAATTTTATTTATTTTTTATTAAATTTTTAAAAGCCGCCGTAAACGTTAAAAAGCCGCCGGAAAAGCCGTCGGAAATGTGACCGCCGGAAAACCGTCGGAAAAAAGTCTAAAAGCCGCCGGAAACATGGCCGCCGGAAAGCCGCCAGAAAATTCCGCCGGAAATCAGTGATTTTCCTGTAGTGTAAAGTGAATTACTTTAAGAGTTTCTTTGGATTCATCAGGATGACTACATCTTAGAGTGATCCTACATGAAGACTTCATGAATAATTAATTATTTGAGATGAAATAATGATTTGCATTATAATAAAGTGTATGACATTATCTTTAGATTTTCATATAGTACCTTCAATTTGATTCTTGTAAATTGAAGTATACATGCATTTTGTTACATCGATCAACATTGCTTCAATAGAAGGAAATTTGAGCTTTTGGACGAAGTTGCATGAGAATTCCTATATTCCTAAGAATTTTTTCAAAAAACTTTCCTATTTAAGAATATGGACAACCCCCTAAATTTATTAAGATTGGAGATATATCATCTCTAACATATCTAAGTAATAACATAATTTAATAATGTAATTCATAATGTTGAAATATATGAGTCATCACTAATTGAGAGTTATTGAAGATCAATTCTTAGTGCGAAGGCCAGTTATAAGATCAAGAATAGCCAACATAGCTTCATATTCGATTTGTTCGTTGGTTGCATTGGATAATTTTGATACGTAGGTAATATGCTTTAATCAAGTTATTTAGTATTCTTCTCAAAATCTTCAAGTTATATTATCGACAATAAAATTTATGAGAATCAAAATTTTAATAATCCTTTGAGATATTTATTCAATTTTATATATTTTTAGTAGCTTGCAGGAGGTCGAGAATTGTACCCTAAATTGAAAAGAAACAACCTTAAAGAAGGATAAATTTAAGAGAGAGAATTAAGAATATTGATAATTCTAAGCAACATTTTTTAGCATTTTTATACATTTTACGCATGTATTAGTGAGCGTGAAAAGAGACCTATCATCATTAAAGTAAAAATAGTTGAGTATATACTTGGATAAATTCTTTACATTGAATGTGCATTGCTTATTTATCACTTGAGTGAATGTAGCTTGTTGATGTAGTATATGAGTTGATTGATAAAAATATAAGCTTTGAAGGAAAACTATAATTTTGGCTCTTATTAACTTCTTGAATATAAGAAGTATCTTAACCCTAATCGATACAACCCTTACACCGAAGTGGGTTATATTTGATTGGATACACAAAATACATTATCCAAGACCTATTTTGAATGAATTATTTCTGTAATTATTTATAATGATACATACCTACTAATATTTCTTCAAAAATATAATAAAAAAGAAATCACCACTCCATATCACTATAATGTTTCATTTGGGATGACTTTCTTACTGCTTTCTAAAGCAGTTTTTTAGTACAAATTTTTTTTGAAATTTTATTTTAAGTAGTGAAAAAACGTCCCAAAAGAAGCCTAAGTAATATTTCTAAAAGTGATGAGAAAACAATGCATATGTGGGTACAAAGTCCTTGGGAAAATTCTTTTGCTTTAATCACAAGCACATCTTGAAGGAAATTTCTTAGATGCATGAATGTGTGACTTCCAAGTCTTCCAAATTCCTCTTCTTATTCTTCAAATGAAATGTAAAACCTCATGAAATCCTCAGCTATATTATAAAAATAGT